GAGACCTTAAGAAAATATGCCGCTGAGAATAAGGGACAACACCGCAGCTACCTGTATGGACCAACACCTGAGGTTGAGAAAAACCAAGTACAACCCAGAAAATGCCAGTGTGGACACACACAATAGCCAGATGCTTCCCCTCCCTAGAGGCCTTGAGACTACTGGACCCCCCTTCTCCAACAGAGATGGCAAACCTGGAAGGAAAGGGTACACTCATAATGACAGAGTATACACTTCAATCACCTGATAGAATGACAACTCATGATTGAAATTCAATGAAATTATTTTATTTTTTAAAAATTTTATTGATTGATTTTAGAGAGAAAGAGGAAGGGAGGAGAGCAGGGGGCGGAGAAGAGAAACATTGATTTGTTGTCCACTTATTTATGCCTTCCTTAGTTGCTTCTCGTATGTGCCTGACCGGGGACGACGCTCTAACCACCTGAGTTACCCGGCCAGGGCTATTTTACTTACTTACTTAATTTTTAAATATATCTTCATTGATTTCAGAGAGGAAGGGAGAGAGATGAGATAGAAACATCAATGATGAGAGAATCACTGATCCACTGCCTCCTGCATGCCTCCTACTGGGGATTGAGCCTGCAACCTGGGCATGTGCCCTGACCAGGAATCCAACTGGTTCATGGGTAGATGCTCAACCACTGAGTCATACCAGCCAGGCAGCAACATGATTTTATAAAACAGAACCTTTCCCCCCACCCAAACTCAGGGAACTGGTGATGCCAAGTACCTCTACAAGTGGGGATAGAGGTGAAATATACATGAGTGGATTGGCTAAAAGTCAATTTAAGAATTAGATTTTATGTGTTAACTTTATGAAGACATCAAGTTTTTTTTTTTAAAAAAAAGTTTTAATTTATTTTAGGGAGAGGAGGGGAGAGGGAGAGAGAAACACCAGTGAGAGAGAAACATCGATCGACCACCTCCTGCACGCACCCCGACCTGGGACCAAACCCACAACCTGGGTATGTGCCCTGAGAATCGAACCAGTGACCTTTCAGCGTATGGGATGATGCTCGACCAACTGAGCCACCCTAGCCAGGGCGACATCAACTTTTGATTTCTGTATTTTTCTGTATGCATACTATACTTCAATAACAAGTAAAATGAGTTAAACCTTAGCTCTCCTCCCCAACTCTGAGCAACAGGTCAAAGATCATTCCCATACTCTGGCAGAAATCTCCGAGTTTGTTCTTTGCACAGGGTTTTGAAATCAGGTTTTAACTGAGAGGTTGGGAGATACCACTTACACTCGAGGTGGGAGGAACACCATACTGAGAATGGGGATTAAGTAAGAGTCTACATACTGAGGGTTGAGAATGCCAGCCTTCACCAACGTGGTTCCTAGATGTTGGGAAAGACCTAAAGTTACTGACCATGGGTGTTCCCCAGTGAATGGCCCAGACAGTGTCCCACAGACAATCCCATAGTAAACAAGGCCCTTCCACAAGCACAGAGCTCCACTGTTTTGTATTTTCAATCTTTAACATGAGCTGACAGTTAAGAATCACCTGAAAGATAGAGACTGAAGCAAAGAAATAGAAAAAGCAACATAAAGGCATAAAGGGCCCTGGCCGGGTTGTTCAGTGGTTAGAACATCGCCTGCGGCCTGAAGGGTCAATTCCGGCCAAGGGCACGTGCCTTGGTTGCAGGCTCAATCCCTGGAGAAGTCAAGGAGCATAGTGAATGGAGGCAAGGGGGAGGAGAAATCACGTTGAGCCCTGTGGACCACTGAAGGAATGCAGGCTTTCACTATGAGTCAGATGTGAAGCCAATGTGGAATTTTGAGAGGAAATGACATATTTTAAAAGGGTCACTATGACTGCTATGCTGATACGCGAATATTCTATGTTGATAAGGGAATAGATTAAGATAATATGTTATGACCACAAAATAAAATTGTATTGCTATTAAAAAACACAAAAAAAACACACCAAGGCGGCCCTGGCCAGGTAGCTCAATTGGTTAGAGCATCATCCCAATACACCAAGGTTTCAGGTTCAATCTCGTGTCAGGGAATATACAAGAATCAACCAAAGAATGCATAAATAAAACGAGTGGTGAGGGCACATGCCCGGGTTGCAGGCTCGATCCCCAGTCAGGGGCATGCAGGAGGCAGCTGATCAATGACTCTCTCATCATTGATGTTTCTATGTCTCCCTCCCTCTTCCTTCCCCTCTCCAAAACCAATAAAGATATATTAAAAAAAACAAAAAACAAAACTTGATCCTTCAGACTGGAGCATTTTCTAGCTGGCTCAAGTTAATGAGAGGAATGAACAAAGGGAGGCATTAGTCAGAGGCAGGGAGTGAAGCACCTCCAGTGTTCAGGCTAACTCCTGAGCTACTAGGCCTACCTTCCACAGAAACCAAGAGAAAAGATATCCTGCCTTTCACTGGGTTCATAAATTACACCTTGTTCCCTTTCCTTGGCCTTCAGAGCACCAAAATGTGCTTCCAGTTCTACCACAGACCTTCTGCACCTGTGGGGCTTTGTTTTGATTTCTCACTTTCACAAAGCTCCCTGCATTATTTTGGTGCCATTTCTGTGAAACTGCAAGATCCTGGGAGTTGTTACTGCTTTAGCTAGAAAATAATGGATGGAGGAGGGGCTATACCTCCTGGGTGCCTCCCACACCTAGCCATTGGCTGCCAGGAGGTCCAGTCTCAAAGTAAGGAAATGCAGGAGGTGCAGGGCGCCCCAGACCAGCGCTTCTCAGAGACACTGACACACAAAGCACCCCCTGAAGGTCTTGTTCAAATGCAGGTTCTGATGTAGCAGGGCTGGGGCAAGCCCAAGATTCTGCGTTTCTGAGTTCCCAGGTGATGTTGATGCTGCTGGTCCACACACCACACTTTGAAAAGCAAAGGGGCAAGACTGAAGACAGAACGTGCAGAAAGAGGTAAAAATGGAACCCTGGGGAGGAGAGGGAACAAGGTCCAGGGAGAGCTGCTCTGAGGGGGCTCCAGCTGCATCACCTCGTCTTCATGGCCTTCCCTGAAGGGCTTCCTGGGGCAGGGGCCTCTGTGGCCCATGTGTTGGCTACAACGGGGTGCTTTGGTTCCAGAGGACTGGAGCACACAGCCTCCCAGGCCCAGCTGCACACTGGAAGAGGGCCAGGGACTGGAGACCTCCTCACACCTGCCAGTAGGCAGTTCTGTCAAGGGAGAGAGCTCTGCCGGGCTGGGGCTGACTGCCATGCTGGCTCAGGCCCTTAGCTCTGGGGTAGTTTAGCCATGGAGCAGCAGGTTGGCCTCGGGAATAAGTGATGGGCTCTCCCCTCCTCAGCTTCACCGCATGCACTACTTCTTGAAGCCAAAGTGCGACTTTCACTTTCTCAAAGAGCAGCTTCCATTTACTGGGTGCTTACTATATGCTAGGCTCTGTGGAAGCACCCTCCCACATTGTTTCTTTTAAAAAATTTTTTATTGATTGCTTTTAGAGAAGGGAGAGAGAGAAACATCAATTTGTTGTTCCATTTATTTATGCATTCATTGGTTGATTCTTATATGTGCCCTGACCGAGGACTGAACCTGCAACCTTGGCATATTGGAATGATGCTCTAACCAACTGAGCTCCCCAGCCAGGATCCACATTGTTTTATTTAATCCTCGCAATTACCCTATGATGTAGGAACTGTTTTTTCCCACTTTACAATATAAGGAAACTGAAGCCTCAGAGGTAATTTGCCCAATACCTTGTATCTAATATGAAGTAGTCTGTGTCTTCCCACCCTGGCACTAAATCATGACTGAACCACACACCTGTGAGGCCAGGAGTCTGTGGGACTAAATCTAGGACAGAAGTCTCAGGATAGGAATTTAGATGACAGAGCAAGGTAACTAAGGTGGTTTGATTTGGTTTATAACCCTTTGAAGATCAGCAGAAAGTCAAGGCTACGATTGCCCCTCTACCAGCTTCCCTCACCATACCAGTAACAGGAGGTTCTTTTGTGCCAGCTAGCAGGAACATTGCATGACCTCAGAGGAGGGGACTCGCAGGTGGTTGTGAACTGGGCTCATTGGACTTGACTCACTAGGTAACACCAACTCTAAAGAGTAGATGGCCTGCCAGCCAGGTGACGGAGGATCATTTAGGAAAGTCTGAATCAAATGGTACCAGCCCATCTGTCCATATCCCACAGAGGTGTCCTGCGGTGGAAAACACTATTGGCTTTGGTTCTTAATTCAATAAACCTAAATGACGACAAGCACTGGGCTCGCCAGTCAGACACTCTTCGCCCTTAATGAAGAAAATTAGCAGGTTGGGAATAAAAGTAACTAAGCAGTGGTGAGAACTGCTGTGAACTGGAGAATTCCGCTCAGCCAAAGGTGCTTTGCTACCTTACTCCAGTTGTAGCCTCTCAGTAACAAAGAAAAGCCAAAAGTCAAGATCATGTGAACCTTTTCATTTTTAAAAACAGAGTGCAGGCCAACCTGTGTGGCCACTAATTTGCAAATTCTGCCCTTCACTAACCAAACCCTGTCACTTCCTGTTGTACCTTTAGCACTGACAATGCCTGGAAGAAAGAATATGCTTCTGGCACTGACCAGGGGAAGCTCATCCAGAAGCAATGGGTCTGGAATCTCCATAATATATAGAAAAGCTGATGCAACTGGGCAAGAGTTTTAGACTTGAGAGGCATAATTGTTGTTAATAAGAAAACCCTTATAAGGCTAGGGCACATGGTTTGGCCAGCATTGTAAAGGCCAGGGGTAGAGGGGCGGGGGAGAGTCACTTTTAGGCAAATTATACACTTGGCGATTGGTGTTCATCCCTCCTACTACAGTCCATAGTCCTTTACCTGTGCACTCCCTAAAGTCATTTGGTTTTCATACGTGGTATGAGTAAATTCAGGTTTTTTCTAAGTTTGACTTGCAAATATCCAACCTACTACCTAAGAATCTTACTCAGGGTTTTCCCCAAGGACTAAAATGAAATAGGATACATAACGAAAGTGCTTCACATAACATCGGGGAAAGGGTTCAAGAAACATTCACTATTATTACGCAGGTCTAGATGTTCTGTATAAAGCACCAGAATATACAACCACTGTCAATCCATATTCATAGGTATTCCAATTTTGGCTTAATAAACAATACTCCTGTAAAATTCCCAAATGGAATGAAATTATGAGCCTGAATGTTCAAATAGAACAGCAAAGGCCATTCCTCAGGGGACATCCAAGAGGGAATTCCTGCTCTAGGAATCTGACTTTTATGGTCTCTGCTCTTAGAACCCTATGACTACACACACAGCATGAAAAACTGTACTTATAATTTACATTTTAAAAATGTGGCTGATCTCTGTGGATATAGAAAGATATACAAAATAGGATAGAAAAAAATATATAAAATGATACAATGGGATACCACGTTTTTTGTTTTGGGGTTTTTTTTTTTTTCCCCAAAAGGATATACAGTCATACTTAAAACATTTCTGGAAGGGAGGAAGGGTATACAAGAAACTTAAGACAACCTTGGGGAATGGGCTGGGGAAACAAATGCTTACTCACCCCAACCAAATGCTTACTTTTCACTTTATATCCTTCCGTTCCATTCGCCCCACCCTTACCAATAGCATCATTATCCTTATGAAAAGGAACTTCTGGTGTGAGCTTTGCTTTGCAAACACTGCCCAGGATAAAGCTTTATATATTTCCTTACATCTTCACTGCCAAGTCCCAAGAACTTTAATTAGACTATTGGAATTCCCCAGCCTACCCTCCCATTAACAAATATACCTAACCCTAGAGGCTGCTTCAGGTCACCCTTTTTGTCCCTCATTTCCGGAGTCCTAGTGTTTTTTCCCATGTGCACACTCCGTGGGTGATCTCATAAAGCCCCACAGTTCTTGGATATATTGTCCTACCACTGACTCCCAAATTTCTACCTCCAGCCTAGGCTCCATTCCTGTACTCCAAACCTGCATATTGCAATTGCCTAGTCAACAGCTCCACTTGGATGCTGAGCATCTAAAACTTAAGACACCCAAAGTTAAACTCATCTTCCCCAGTAAACTTGCTCTACCTACAGCCCTCCAAATCCCAGCTAATAGCACTTCCAGGCTTCTAGCTGCCCAATCCACAACCTCAGACTAAAAGAATGACTGAAAAGCAGTCTGACTTACAATGCCAGTTATCTAAAAATAAAAGTAGTCCTTGATATTGGGATCTAAGATATCATTTAATCATTAAAATGTTTTCTGAAATATGTTTAAAATGAACTAATTTAAGTGTAGAATTTAGATTTTGACATTTTAATTTCTTTTGAACGTAAGTCACTTTTTGCAAGCTAGGAAATAGAATCAAATTAAGGCAGTCTAGTCCCCTAGGGATCCAGGCCAAATCTTGTGATCTTCAGCAGGACATCACAATACAAGGTGACAATAATGGGGTTATAAACTCTAAATAACCCCCACTTATCTACATTCTTCCTCAGAAAACAGACCAAAGCCCAGTCCTTAAAAGCATGACATACAGAACATCTTAATCTATAAAGGATAGAATTATACAAATTATATGGTGCCCAAGCTAATGGTGAACCAGGTTAGAGCTGCCCAAGGATTGAACAGAATGTGTCTACATTTTGAAAACTTGTTCTGAGGTTTAAAATTTCTGATTGCTTTTAACAGGAAAGCAAGTAAGAAATATTACAGACGCATCCACACTAATATCTGATTTTGCCAAGGTGTTCCACTAGAGCATGAAGTTAAAGCATAGGGGATAAGATACTTAGGTATTTTCAAAATAAATTACTTAGTAACAAGAATTCTGATATACTGCGTACTTCCATTTGTCACAAGAACAAACTGACAATAAAGACTATTTAAAAGAAATGCTCAACTCTAAAAAGGGTGGTGACAGCAACACTTCCCACTACAGAATAACCTCCTGCTTTTTCCAATTAACACTGCTATTCTTCCATGATACAGGTTCATGTGGAAAAACTTGTCAGCTTTTGTCAGAACCAGGAGCTGAAATATATATGCCCTAATTAGCTAATTGTAAGCTCCGTTAGCATCTGTAGGGTGGACCCATAAAACCTAGCCATTGTTTTGTTAAACGTCTGCAAACTGCAGAATTCCTTAGCCCTAAGCCATAGTTTCTGCTCAGTATCTCAAAGCTGAGCTCAGTCCCATCTGACTCTGCTCCTCAGGGCTGAGGTGGGTGCTAGTCATCAAAGTCTGGAATGTCATCGTAGGAGTAACCCCGGTAGCCTTTGGATGCATAGTAGGCGATGCGCAGGTGGTAAAATCCTGGCAGGAACACCAGGATGCCAATGATCAGGACGGGAACGGCCCGGTCTGCCCCCTGGTGGCAGAAGGAGGCAAACACATTAGTACCACACAAGTTAAAAATTTTAAAATAACACATGGGTCCAATCCATAATCAGTATCTTATACTTTTCAGAGCATTTTCTTTGGGTAGTACCCTACCTAAGGCAAAGTTTTACATCTCTTTTTCTCCTGATTAACAATTGTAGAAAAACTGTAAAGTACTAAAAATTATAAAGAAAATAAATTATCCATGTTCATCCACAGATATTTTGGCTTATTTTCTTCTGCTCCTTCTTTAAAGTTTTTAGTTGTGAACACACCCTGTGCCTTGTTTTTGTCTCTTATAACAAGATATTGCCAAAGTATTACTAAAGCTCTTCACTATGAGGTAGGGAGATGGGAGGAATGGGTGGTCAAAGGTACAAAATTCTAGTTAAAAAATAAGTCCTGGGGATGTAATGTAGAGCATGGTGACTACAGTTAAGAATGCTGTACTCTATATCTGAAAGTTGATGAGAGAGTAGATTTTAAAAGTTCTTATCACACAAAAAAATGTATAACTACGTGTGGTGATGGGTACTAACCAGACTTACTGTGATCTTTCACAATATATACAGACACTGAATCTTTATGTTGTACACCTGAAACTAATATAATGGTTATATTTAACAGAAAATATCATGTTGTAAACAAGTCCACTGATCTATTAGATTGAAACAGAATGACAACACGATCACGTATAAAAGCTAAAGACAAATTGCTGGTACTGAACATAGCAGAGGCCTGAGCCAGGCTCTGAAAGATCACCAGAAATAGAGGCAGCAGCAGCTTGAAACAGGCACAAAGATAGGGAGGAAGAGGCTTCAGAGTAAAAGGAAGGCAGAGCAACAGACTCATCCTGTGAACAGGGATGAAGGATAAAGGGACAAAAGCGTTCTATTTCCTGATGTTATGGGCCCATCAGAGCAGGTCACATGAACTTGATGGTGAGAAGGGCAGGATATTTTAGGTGGAGAAAGGCAGCTTTAGAAGCACTTGTATGTTGTCTTAGTACTTAGCTCCCTAGGGAAGCAGAACATATCACTTGTGTTGTGACTAAACTCATAATTGAGCTGCTTGCCCCAGACCCCATCACCTTGACTGAAGAACTAATTGAAATCATGCCAGTGTCTGTTGCCCTAGTAGACTATTAATTTTTTTATTTTTTATTATTTTAAAATATATCTTTATTGATTTCAGAGAGAGGAAGGGAGAGGGAGAGAGAGAGAAACATCAATGATGAGAGTCCTTGATTGGCTGCCTCCTGCACACCCCCAGCTGGGGATGGAGCCTGCAACCCGGGCATGTGCCCTGACCGGGAATCAAACCTTGATCTCCTGGATCCTTGGTTGACGCTCAACCACTGAGCCACACTGGCCAGGTCCTTCTACTTCTCAATGAGTATGTAAAAGGGGGAAGCCACAGTGAGGCCTTGAAACAAAAACACAGGTGGGAAAAGGATTTCCACCTTCCTCCCGGTGCTGGAGGGCCCCTAAGGGAGAGGAGTTTGACATTGCTGGGCCCCTTGAGGCTCTGAGTTTATCAGCAAAGCCTTCTCTTTAGCCCAACCCTCCCAAATCCTCCCCAAGGAGTCCTCAGAGTTCATGGAAAGGCCAACTGAGAGAGAGAAAAAGAAGAAAAAAACAAGGAATGAAAGGGGCAGTTTTCTTTCCATGGCACTTGTATTGACTAAGAGAGACTGCCTCCTTATGCTGATTTTAGATATTGAGAGTTTGTTCCTTAATCTAGAATAGTGATTCTCAAATAAGGGGCAGGCCTGCTTGAGAGGGGTTCTCAAGCTGCTGCAGAGGTTTTGTCCAATACAAAAAGCCCCTATTCTCCCAAAATGAAAATCTGCATATAAGGATAGAAATTCATGACAGAAGTGTGTTGTTCATGTGAACATCAGAGGCAGAACAAAAAGCTAAAAATCCCTCATCTGTGTGGAACAGACATAAAAATTATGGAGTGGTTTTTCTGATTAAAAGTTTTGGTTTTTTTCTCATTTTAAAGAAAATTTCAGAAAGGGGAGGGAGAAGAAGAGAAAGAGAAACATGGATTTGTTGTTCCACTTTTTTATTTTTCTGTTATCCTCACCCGAGGATATTTTTTCCACTGATTTTCAGAGAGGGTAGAAGGGAGTGAGGGGGAGAGAGAGAGAAACATCAATGTGAGAGACACATATTGATTGGTTGCCTCCCACACACACAGGCCAGGGATTGAACCTGCACCCAGGTAAGTGCCCTTGAAGAGAAATTGAACCCATGAACCTTCAGTGCACAGGCTGATCCTCTATCCACTGAGCCACACCGGACAGGGCTGTTGTTCCACTTATTTATGCATCCATTGGTTGATTCTTATATGTGCCCTGACTAGTGATCGAACCCACAACCTTGGTGTATCGGGGCCATGCTCTAACCAACTGAGCTACCTGGCCAGGGTGCTGATTAAGAGTAAGTTACAAAAAGTGACTTCTCCTGTAGCTAAACTCCATGACTGGGCTCCATGCTGCAGAGCCAAGAAAAGTAAGTTCACCAATTTATCTGGAGTAACCACACTGGATTAAAGAAATACAATTCTGTCCTCCTAAAGACAATTTCCAGAAAGACCTGCCTGTCCCAAAGAGGTACTCAACACCAGGATTAGCACAATCACTGTATGGTTTCTTAGAAAACTGACTTTTCTGTTTCTTTCTCTTTGATACTGTACAAGGGGCGCACCAACTTACGACCAAGCATTGAACCTGTGAAATACTTGATGGTCTTCACTTTCAGCTCCAGGGTGGCATCCTCATTGCACACAAACACAGTACAGGGATGCTGCTGGAAGGCAGACACTGTCCACATATAGTTTACTTCCTCCTGGGTGGCTTTGTATAGAGCAAAGGCCTTGTGAGCACCTGTGATGAAGATCATCACCTCTTTAGCATCCTTGACAGTGCCCATGCCCAATGACAGGGCCATAGTGGGCACTTTGGTGAGATCTCCATCAAAGAGCTTAGCATTGGCCAGGATGGTGTCCATGTCCAGCATCTTTATACAGGTCCCAGACACCAGACTAGAGTGAGCTCATTGATGGCAACATGTCTACTAGGGTGATGCCTCCAACAACACCTCAATCCTGCCTTGATCTTCTCTTCAAAGGCGTCATTCTCAGCCTGCAGGTCAGCTGCAATCCCATTCAGAATGTGGGTGTTTTTGGGGTGGACGTCAGTGTGCTTGAAGAAGTTGTTATAGGTAAAGGAGTGGTAACTCCCTGGGTGGTCTCGAGGAAGACCCACATACTTGTTGATGTTGAAGGTCTTCACATATTTGAAGGACAGGTCTCCATTCTTATAGTACTCAATTAGCTTCTTGTACTAGCCAAGTGAGGTGCTCCCAGTGGAGAGCCCCAGGCTGAAATACTTGTCTGGTCCTGGGTTAAACTGGATGACGTGATTCCTGATGTATTTAGCAGCCTACTCGCTGGCCTAAGGACAGTGGTCCAGGATGATGAGCTTCCTGTTGCGGTGGCTGCAGCAGTGCATGGTGCGCATGGCTGCAGGTCACGCAGTGCCAGGTCAAAACTAATACAATGTTATATGTCAACTAATGGTTGTAGCATTCCACTGTAATGGATGTACCACAACTTTAATTAACTCTTCCCCACCACTCCAGATTACTGGATATTTTAGTTGCCTCTCATTTTTTGTGACTGTACAGAACACCACACTAAACCAGTGTTTTTCTTGGTCTTTCAGGTTATTTCCTTAGTGTATATTCCCATGATAGTGATTCATAGGTCAGAGGGAGGGATGGTGTTTAGTCTCTTTATCAGTAGGGCTTAACTTTTGCGGGAATTCTATCAGGACAGGGACTTTGGTCATCCCTGTATCCCCAGCTGTGCCTAACATATAATGGAAGCTCAATGAATGTGCTGAATGGATTCACCTTACAAAAACTGCTTTGTCTGTCTTGCTTTCTTAAGTGGCTTTAAATGTTTTCTAGTTAAACTTATCCTTTTTCCTTTGTGATTTTTCCCATTGTTTTTAAGTTTAAGAAGATTTCCCTCATCCAAAGACTTAAACTCAATTTACAAATCTTTTAACAGGGCTATTTACACAATGTACACTGATGAGTTACTGAATCAATATAATTTTGGCTGGCCCGGCTGGTGTTGCTCAGTGGTTGAACATCAACCTATGATCCAGGAGATCGAGGTTCAATTCCTGGTTAGGGTGCATGCTCGGGCTGCAGGTTCGATTCCCAGTCAGGTGCGTGCAGGAGGCAGCTGATCAATGACTCTCTCATCATTGATGTTTCTATCTCTCTCTCTCTCTCTCTACCCCTCCCTTCACTCCCTCCCTCCCTCTCCCTAAAAATCAATGGAAAAAATATTCTCGGGTGAGGATTAACAATAACAAAAGACAAAGGAGTGAGTTGAATGGGCTCCTACCGACCAAATTTGGGATAATTTATATGTTAAAGAGAATACAGACTGCAATTAATTGAAGCAAAAATACATTTAAAAAAACAATGAGTTTATAATGATATAATAATTATTTGGTCATCTGTTGAAGTTGCTAGGTATATTTTTATAAAGGTTAATATAGAGAAGTAATCAAGTATTTTTCCTACCTTTACTAGACACACTGTATGTCAGAGTAACCAAATAGCAAATTTGAGAAAGTTCTTTATAAAGGAATCTCATCTGATAAATCCAGAAAATTATAAAACTGGATTCATAAGTGTAAAGGGTGATGGGGAAGTTTATAATAAATGAATTAGGCTGAAGACACTTGAACCCAGGAATCAATCTTAATATCAACTAAAAATTAGGACAACCATTACGTGCCTCCTCAGGTAAATGCTATAGCAGTGTTCTCCAAATGTGGTCCTTGGAAGACCAGCATTTCCTGGGAACTTGGAAATGCACATTCTCATGCCTCACTCTAGACCAAAAGAACTGGAATCTCTGGGAGTGTGAGCAAGGAATCTGTGTGTTTACAAGTCTAAAGGTCATTCAGATGGACACTGAAGTTTGAGAATCATATTCTTTCTAAAACTAAACTAAATTCAAATTGAAATAAGTCCCTAGCCCTGGCCAGATAGCTCAGTTGGTTAGAGTATCATCCCAATATCACTAGGTTGTGTTCAATCTCCGGTCAGGACACATACGAGAAGCTACCAAATAAGTGGAAAAACAAATTGATGTTTCTCACTTTCTCTTCCTTTTCTAAAGTTAATAAATAGCCTGGCCAGTGTTGCTCAGTAGTTGAGCATTGACCCATATACCAGGAGGTCACGGTTTGATTCCCGGTCAGGGCACATGCTAGGGTTGCAGGCTTGATTCTCAGTGGGGAACGTGCAGGAGGCAGCCGATTGATGTTTCTCCCTTTCCCTTCCTCTCTCTGAAATCAATAAAAATATAAAAAAATAAAGTTAATAAATAAAAATTAAAAAAACAAGCACCTGTATCTAACAGTTTGCAAGAAATATGAGGAATAGAACAAGGTAAACGATATTAAGACAGCACCTGTAGATTTACGTAAAAACTGTTAGAGATGCATACTGAAGATGCACACTTAAGAATTTACCAGCAATGCATATATGCACAACCCAAGGACACGGACAATGGTGGGGAGAGGGACTGGGGAGGGGGATGGGACAGGATGGGACGGGGTGGAATGGANTTGTCTGTCTTGCTTTCTTAAGTGGCTTTAAATGTTTTCTAGTTAAACTTATCCTTTTTCCTTTGTGATTTTTCCCATTGTTTTTAAGTTTAAGAAGATTTCCCTCATCCAAAGACTTAAACTCAATTTACAAATCTTTTAACAGGGCTATTTACACAATGTACACTGATGAGTTACTGAATCAATATAATTTTGGCTGGCCCGGCTGGTGTTGCTCAGTGGTTGAACATCAACCTATGATCCAGGAGATCGAGGTTCAATTCCTGGTTAGGGTGCATGCTCGGGCTGCAGGTTCGATTCCCAGTCAGGTGCGTGCAGGAGGCAGCTGATCAATGACTCTCTCATCATTGATGTTTCTATCTCTCTCTCTCTCTCTCTACCCCTCCCTTCACTCCCTCCCTCCCTCTCCCTAAAAATCAATGGAAAAAATATTCTCGGGTGAGGATTAACAATAACAAAAGACAAAGGAGTGAGTTGAATGGGCTCCTACCGACCAAATTTGGGATAATTTATATGTTAAAGAGAATACAGACTGCAATTAATTGAAGCAAAAATACATTTAAAAAAACAATGAGTTTATAATGATATAATAATTATTTGGTCATCTGTTGAAGTTGCTAGGTATATTTTTATAAAGGTTAATATAGAGAAGTAATCAAGTATTTTTCCTACCTTTACTAGACACACTGTATGTCAGAGTAACCAAATAGCAAATTTGAGAAAGTTCTTTATAAAGGAATCTCATCTGATAAATCCAGAAAATTATAAAACTGGATTCATAAGTGTAAAGGGTGATGGGGAAGTTTATAATAAATGAATTAGGCTGAAGACACTTGAACCCAGGAATCAATCTTAATATCAACTAAAAATTAGGACAACCATTACGTGCCTCCTCAGGTAAATGCTATAGCAGTGTTCTCCAAATGTGGTCCTTGGAAGACCAGCATTTCCTGGGAACTTGGAAATGCACATTCTCATGCCTCACTCTAGACCAAAAGAACTGGAATCTCTGGGAGTGTGAGCAAGGAATCTGTGTGTTTACAAGTCTAAAGGTCATTCAGATGGACACTGAAGTTTGAGAATCATATTCTTTCTAAAACTAAACTAAATTCAAATTGAAATAAGTCCCTAGCCCTGGCCAGATAGCTCAGTTGGTTAGAGTATCATCCCAATATCACTAGGTTGTGTTCAATCTCCGGTCAGGACACATACGAGAAGCTACCAAATAAGTGGAAAAACAAATTGATGTTTCTCACTTTCTCTTCCTTTTCTAAAGTTAATAAATAGCCTGGCCAGTGTTGCTCAGTAGTTGAGCATTGACCCATATACCAGGAGGTCACGGTTTGATTCCCGGTCAGGGCACATGCTAGGGTTGCAGGCTTGATTCTCAGTGGGGAACGTGCAGGAGGCAGCCGATTGATGTTTCTCCCTTTCCCTTCCTCTCTCTGAAATCAATAAAAATATAAAAAAATAAAGTTAATAAATAAAAATTAAAAAAACAAGCACCTGTATCTAACAGTTTGCAAGAAATATGAGGAATAGAACAAGGTAAACGATATTAAGACAGCACCTGTAGATTTACGTAAAAACTGTTAGAGATGCATACTGAAGATGCACACTTAAGAATTTACCAGCAATGCATATATGCACAACCCAAGGACACGGACAATGGTGGGGAGAGGGACTGGGGAGGGGGATGGGACAGGATGGGACGGGGTGGAATGGATCATTGGGGAGAAAAAGGACATCTGTAATATTTTAAACAAAAATAAAATTAAAAAAAAAAAAGAATTTACCAGCAAAATGTAAATCTGGTATTTGCTTTAATACAAAAGAAAAAAAGTTGAGGGGGATAGATGAAACAACATGTTTATAATTGTTGATGCTGGTTGGTGGACACATAGGGGTTCATTATATTATTCCATCTACTTCTGTTTTATTTGAAATGTTTATAACAAAAAGTGAAAAAACAAACAAAACAAAATCTATTAGTGATTTTTTAAAAATTCTTTTATTTAAAATATGTTTTTATTGATTTGAGAGAGAGAGACATAAAACATCGATGAGAGAGAGTCATTGATTGGCAGCCTCCTTGCACACCCCCTACTGGGTGTGCTCGAAACCTGGGCAATGTGTCCTGACCGGGAATCGAACCAGCGACCTTTTGGTGCATGAGACAATGCTCAACCAAGTGACACTGGCCAGGGCTAGTGATTTTCTTAATTAACATCTTTATCCTTTTTTAATAAAGTCGTCTTTATAAACCACACAAGGTAAAATGGCATTTGTTGCATATGGATCTCACTTCCATTTTCTGTTATTATAACATGATTAAGAGATTCCTTACTATACAACTGGGATTTATACCGCATTCCGCAATGAAAGTTAACTGAAGGCACAGTCCTCAAGTTAGGTGTTCAAACTTAGACTGCACACCAAGTAAGCATCTGGTGGCCATAGAATAGTTTTAAATAGCTAAGGACCTAATTAGATATACTTCTTAAAACCCAAATACAGCCATTTTATTGTGACAGTGCTACTATTGCCGAGTCCAATGATAATGCCCACAGTTTCAGTTCTTGGCTGTGTTCCTTCTGCAGAGCAGTATGGCAACTATCCCTTCGCCTGGTGTGCGTTGAAGAACAAACATGAATTATGGTCAATGCTAGTTCAGAACAACTTAAATGCTGTGTTTAAGTGTCTGTATACAGCCCAAGAACCACCACATACCACTTCAGGTTTGTAAGGTATCACACTGAAGCTCAATAGGAACTGCAACCAAACCTAATATAAGAACGCTCTGATTCGTGAGCCAAGAGTCCTGGCTTGGTCAATCGCCCCAAACCTTCACAAGTTTCACCCATTCTCCCCAGACTAGTATGTCTGTAGCATTGCAAAGCTACAATAACAGCATTCTACTCCAGTTACAGCCTGTATCATCCAGGAGTCCTCAATGCCATGCTTAGCTTTGCTATCCCAAACTATGAGAGTGGGAAAAGTGCCCAACATCTCAGAGGGAAAATCTGCCAACCTGCCACCACCCACCTCAGAGAAACTGTCGGAGAAGGTCATTGTTGCTCAAAGGAAGAAACACATGTTTTGTTATCAGAGAACAAAATCTTTATAAAAAAACCCCAAACAAAATCCTTTTTCTTCTTTCTGCTGTAATCTGCTGCGCTAAATTCAAATATGAAACAACTGAGCCCTGGCTGACATTTTAAAGACCTCGTGGCAAATTCCCACAAACCCTTCAGCTTACCCCTTTGCTGATATAGCCGGCCAGCAGGAGGGAGCCTATGATAATGAGGAAGGCGCCGATCAAAAACAGCACTGTAGCAAGCGCAATGGCCTTATATGGGATTTTAGGAGGGCTTTTCTTAAACTGGAAGAGAAACAAAAAAAGACAAGGAAGAGCATTATGAAAATACCATGGCTCAGATACTTTAAAGCAGGGAGGATGCTTCATGTGTCTTGAAGTAAGTCCTGCTACCCAGTGCATCTCTGGGAAAAAGGAAAGGGACAGGCAGGAGACGAAGCTCTATTATTGCTCTACCAATGAGTCCTAACAGAATGTTATTCTTTCTAGTTCTAGTCTCATTCCACAGACCATAAAAAACTATTTTCTTACAAAAACAAAAGACACTTTATGGTTATTCATTGATTAGATATGTATTTACTAAGTGCTTGGCACATGGAAGGCTGTACTAATCTAGAGGAATTCAAGAGTGAACAACATGCTCTGGAGAAATAAGAAAACAAGTGATTTCTGGCTTTCAAAGTCAAGTCAGCATACAGTCAAAGGTTTTAGAAACAGCTTTTTCTAAAGCATTAGCTGCCTGTCCCACAGAGCAAGTAACCTGCTTTATTAACAAGTTCAATTCAAGGTTAAGATTCAGAAACAAATTTTCTAAGGTTTGCTCATGGCTATATCTGACCTAACTGCCTGGAAGCTTCCCAGATGTATTTTAAAAAAAAACACACATAAAAAAAACTCTCTCCTTCAAGTGCAGGTCCAAAGAGTACAAAGAATAATTGATTTGTTTATATTTAAAAGGATGGCTGCCAGCTACTTCTTCCTTGGCCCTCGTTCTACCTGAAATATTCTGCTCTAAGGAGAAATGGGCAAAAGAAGATGCTATGCCATTAAGTATTTTATGATCGGGTAGGGTACAAACTTAATAAATACTCTGTTTTACTTACTGTTTGGCACAAAGAATACCTTTAATAAACTGGATCTCATAACATCAGGAAAGAAGGAGGAATTCCACAATCTGCAGGCTTTAGCAGTTAGTTTCTCCCTTAAAAGATGAACTGGCTTTGACTAAAGTGTAAACAAACTGATGACACAGTCCTTAAAAAAAATTTCTACTTAACAAAACACAATCTGATTATTTTTTAGGTAAACTAAATAAAATTTGCTATTACTGGGCTCTGGCATTACAACTAAAAATTCTTACAAAGGAACTGTATTTAAATTCGTTTGAAACATCTCTGCCAAGGTCCCTCCTTCTGCAGGCTGAGGCAGAAAAGGAGCCGGGTTTCCTTTGTGCTGCTCCCTCTAATCTCCAGGGACAATTAGCAAAACCTCCACCTGGAAGGTCTTCCTGCTAGCTCATCAGAAACAGCCAGCCAGCCAGTCTCATCAGCTCTCTACTGCACTTACCTGAAGGTCAATGTAGCCATCATCTGTGCTGGAGAGTCTTGAGTATTTCACTTTACTACTGGGGATTCCAGTAGCCAGGTTGGTACGAGATGGCATCATAACACACTGACACAACTACAGTCTGAAAACAAAGAAAACTGTTATTGTCTGCAAACAACAACGGTGTTTTATAGCCCAGAAATTCAGGTCTCTCAGATGCAGTGTTTTGGATTTCAGAGCTGTGATGACATACTAGCAACTGGCAATTTAGGCTCCACTGCTCTTAGAACCTGATATTCTTTTGGCAGAGTGAAAATATTCTCGTTATATACCCACTCTGTTTTGTCCTGGTAGAATGACAGTCAAGACATTGGCCAAGAATCGGAGCTCATATTTATCTTGCCACCAACATTCCCCTGCCTCATAATTTTTCCAAAGTCATACAGGGTGGAAGAGTCCTGACTTAAATCCAAATTAGATATCTGAGTAGCCAGGCTGGTATGAGATGGCATCACTCGGACTTATCCGAAGTCCAAATTTTCAACCATTTGGCTATAGTATTGTTTGCGTCTTGTCCCTCCTTCAGAAAGAAGCAAGAGGAGCATATACTCAAGTGATTCTCTTATTTGCCAGCGAGGAAGGAGAGAGAGGGTGGGGAACAGAACACACATCAACGTTTTGCCTATTTCCCCCTGATGGATAGCATCCCGTTAATGCAAAGGATTTATAAAGCTTGTTGTAAATTTGGATAAGCTCCTGGCTATCAGTACTGTTACCAGTGCCTTCTGACTTGCCTGCCTCTCTGCCCCATCCAATCAATGAAAGCAGAGGTTTCATTTTCCAGATTCATGACTATTTTGTCACTTGTTTAAGCGATAATAGATAAGATGAAAAAACAATGACATTTAGGAGCATTTGAGATCTTGCTCCCAAGCATATGTAGTCAGTTTAGGCTCAAATAAACTTATAAAATGACCCTGGCCAGTGTGGCTCAGTGGCTAGAGTGTCGGCCTGAGAACTGAAGGATCTCGGGTTCGATTCCCAGTCAAGGGCAAGTACCTGACTTGCAGGTTGGATCCCCCGCCTGGTGCAGGAGGCAACCAATAGCTGTGTCTCTATCACATCGATCTCTCTCTCCCCCTCTCTCTCTACTCCCCCTTCCCTTCATCCCTCCCTTCTACTTTCTATAGAAAATCAATGGAAAAAATATCTTTGGGTGAGGATTAGAAAAAAAAAAAAGACATTTGAATCAAAAAACATTTGTGCATTTTTCCTCTATAATAAAAGAAGTAAATCTATTTTGATCATGAAGCTATTTGATTTCTAAAAGTGAAACACATCTTTTAAAAGAGCAAATTAAGTATTTCAATACAGGCAACATAAAAAAAACACCAAAGCCTGGCCTTCCTCTGGTACAAGATTTTACAAATAATCACCATTATAATTACGTCAGTTACTCATTACTGGGCACGTGCTGGTTAGGTGCCAGGTGCTTTATATGTACTTAATCCCAGATATTAATGAGTCATTTTAAACCGCCTCCATTCAACCAAAAATAAGTAGCGTTATAAAGGAATTGGTGTCATGTCTCTTTTTAGTAATTACATACAGGTGCAGATATCAAGTACTGAAAAAAAGAGTATGCTAACTTATATGCTGTCCCAAAAGGTGTTCAAGAACAAAATTCAACTAGTTTGAAGATCTAACGGGCTCGAGGGATGGAACAGGCGCATCCCATCTAGCAACTGAGAGGGAGTCCTGACGAGTTGTACAAAATGGAAGGTTTGTATAGGCAGAAAGAGGGGACTGAAACTGCAGTTAGGTTGTTTTTTGGTTTGGTGACGCGGCTTAGCAAAAGTGACTCCATTTGGCCTATTGTTTTTTGTTGTCGTTAAAACAGACTAAAATGCGTCAACGACTAGGTTTTTAAACGTCCCTATCCGATTACATGGTAATCTAAGTTTAATTCTATAAAACTTACAGTCCAAGCTGCCTATATGTGGTTGGTTTATGAAGGAGTTTAATCACCTCTGATTTGTATTAGTGTTTTTTGTTTTTTTTTTTAAAGTTTATGTGCTCTGCCATTAACTATTCATACACCCGCATCAAAACAGAAAAGCGCAGGCTGTGCGGGAGAGGGGAGAGGAAGGCTTACTGCTGGCAAGGAGCACGAATTCCAAGAGGGGGCTGGAAAGACGGGAACAGATGTACTCAAAGCTCCCCACAGGCCTCTTTACCAGCTCCGCCGCACCCCCGCGCTCCCCAATTCCCTCAGCACCTGAAGGCTGCGAGAATTTTAAAGGCATCAGCACAGTGCCGGGCACTTCGCGCTGCACACACCCCTTTCCTGCCTGTCTCCAGACCTCGCCAGGGAGAGAAATAAGAACCCACCCGAATTCAGACCGCAAACAGGAGCGGCTTCGGGCAGAGGCCAGCCGCGCCGAGGGCTGGGGTCTG